GATGCTGGAATCCGCAAACATATAGTTTAATTAGTTGGTATCCCAGTTAATACCTCATGAACAATGCTAAAACTGATCCTGTACCATAAAAAAAAAACATAATTGTCTTGGATAGTTGAACGAACCCCCATGAAACATCATTAAACCTCTATATTTGCTGGTGGATCAAAAAAAACATAACAACTGTCCCTTAAGTTTTACAGTTGTTCCAACAATGTTGATGACTTCCAATTTTTGAAGGTGAAATCACCTAAAAAATGCTACTTTCACCATCCACCATCCACCATCCACCACATCCTGCAGCGTCTCCGCCCGCATCATCCAGGCGTGCCCGGCCGGGTGCCAATCCGTGCGAAACAGCGCCGTGAGGTCTGCCACGTAGGGCGCCAGGCCTCTCGTGGAGGTCACATTTTGCCATGGAAAAAACATAGGAAAATAGTGATTGAACTAAGAAAACCATAGGAAAACCATGGGAAATCAGAGGAAAATGGTGATTTAAGTAAGAAAACCTACAAGGTGGGGCCCCCACACGAAACCAGAATGGAAGACTTATGAATCAAACGTGATTCAATGGGATTTAAAGCTGATTTTATGATAGCTAAGTTATATATAGATATGTAGTATATCTATATAGACAAAATATGGTTACATAATGTTACATACCAGTTAAGTAAATATAGTGTTACACACATGTATATATATATTATAAGAACATAAAAGATATGTAACTATTATATAATTAATGGGAATTCACAAACAAAAGCCATGGAAGAGGTGGATTTCATGCGATTTACTTGGGGGTGCTTACTTGGGGTGACTCTGATGGGAATCAGGGAGACTCGCCTTAGATGTACTTAATACTGGACACAATTTATCACATGATTAAATAGATTATAATAGTATTATAGGTTAATATACCACTAATATAGACCCAGAGATTATATAAAACACTGGAGCCATACTGGTGCAATTCCTGATATTATGTTCGCTGACAGATTTCTCAACTGGTCTAGAACGAGCATGTGGCACGGGTACATCTTGGGAGGTGGGTTGGAACATGAATCAACATGCTGATTGCTGATAACCCTCACTGAAGCTTTGTAGTGCTTGGCCCATCCACAACAAACATCAAAATGGAGGAGTGGCTGTTTGTAAAAACTGGAAACCCTACAATGTGGGGCCCCCGTTTACGATAGCTAAGTTGGTGAACATAACTCCAATAACTATGGTTTATGATACTTATAACTATAGTTAATGGGGTTTATAAACCAACAAACATCACGGGGGGGCCCCACAGCCAGTATAAACATGGTACAAGTATGAAAATCCCAATGGAACCTGGGCTCCTCTAGTTGGATGTTGGGTGTGCACCCCAGGAACAATCATAAGTGCTCAATAACCCCTTCGGGAATTGCAGTAAACATCTCATCTAATCCATGTACGACTGAGGAAACTATAATAGCCGTGGGCCATGGGTCATCTACATAGAACACTAGCCATGCTGGTTGGTGGTATACCTACCCCTCTGAAAAATATGAAAGTCAGTTGGGGTCATTATTCCCAACTGAATGGGAAGTCATAAAATTCATGTTTCAAACCACCAACCAGATAAATCACTGTGAATCCCTAGTTCAAATCCCTATAAAATCCAATAAATCACTGGGGAACTAGCCATGGCTATTACATTTGTTTGGCACATCTTACGGTTCCTCTAGGGATACGTATCCCACAAACGCTGCAACAAGTCCCTGCTCCCTCAGCCTGCATGGTTCCAGGCGCCAATGCACCAAATCGTGGGGTCCTGAATCGCGGATCTATGCGTATTTGCTGTTCTAAATGGTCTAAACCATAGTATACCATAGGATTATTAATGGGTTAATATTACTATTATAATATAAACATGGATTATATTATATTGGATTATGTATTACTGTATATAACCGGTGGTATAACATTTGTTGTTAAATTTGCTGTTATATTTGCTATTATACTGTTATGAATTGATATATTATAGGAAAATTAATGGTCTAAACCATAGTATAACATAGGATTATTAATGATTTAATACTATAATATTATAAAATAACAAATGATTATATTATACTGGTTGGTGGTTGAGCCTACCCCTCTGAAAAACAAGATGCAGCCCACGAACCCGAATGCTCACACGTATAACAGATGTCAAAACACATGGATATGCAATCACGCCGAACACTTGTCTGCAATAGTCTATTTGAACAGTCTTGTACATATTTCCGCTGTTACCAGCCTGCAGTGTGGAGTGTGGAGTGTAGCGTGTCGAGTGTAAAGTGTAGAGTGTGGAGTGTAAAGTGTGGAGTGTGGAGTGTAAAGTGTAGAGTGTGGAGTGTGGGGTGGAAAGTGTAGAGTGTGGAGTGTGGAGTGTAAAGTGAGGAGTGCGGAGTGTAAAGTGTGGAGTGTGGAGTGAGGAGTGTAAAGTGTAAAGTGTGGAGTGTGGAGTGTAAAGTGTGGAGTGAGGAGTGTGGAGTTTGTAAATTGTAGAGTGTGGGGTGCCGAGCGTAGAGTGTAAAGTTTAGAATGTAAAGTGTAGAGTGTGGAGTGTAAAGTGTCGAGTGTCCAGTGTGGAGTGTGGAGTGAGGAGTGTAAAGTGTAAAGTGTGGAGTGTGGAGTGTAAAGTGTAGAGTGTGGAGTGTGGAGTGGAAAGTGTAGAGTGTGGAGTGTGGAGTGTAGAGTGTGGAGTGTGGAGTGTAAAGTGCGGAGTAAGGAGTGTGGAGTGTGTAAAGTGTAGATTGTGGAGTGTGGAGTGTAGAGTGTAAAGTGTAGAGTGTAAAGTGTAGAGTGTGGAATGTAGGGTGTAAAGTGTAGAGTGTGGAGTGTGGAGTGTAAAGTGTAAAGTGTGGAGTGCGGAGTGTGGGGTGGAAAGTGTAGAGTGTGAAGTGTGGAGTGTCGAGTCAGGAGTCTAAAGTGTAAATTGTGGAGTGTGGAATGTGGAGTGTAAAGTGTGGAGTGTGGAGTGTGGAGTGGAAAGTGTAGAGTGTGGAGTGCGGAGTGTAAAGTGAGAAGTGTGGAGTGTGGAGTCTAAAGTGAGGAGTGTGAAGTGTAAAGTGAGGAGTGTGGAGTGTACAGTGTGGAGTGAGGAGTGTAAAGTGTAAAGTCTGGAGTGTAAAATGTCAAGTGTGGAGTGTAGAGTGTAGAGTGTAAAGTATGGAGTGTAAAGTGTAGAGTGAGGAGTGTGGAGTGTAAAGTGTGGAGTGTGGAGTGTAAAGTCTCGAGTGGGGAGTGAGGAGTGTAAAGTGCAAAGTGTAAAGTGTGGAGTGTAAAGTGTAGAGTGTGGAGTGTGGAGTCTAAAGTGTAAATTGTGGAGTGCGGAGTGTAAAGTGTAGAGCGTGGAGTGCAGAGCTTCCCCTATAGACACGGCGACGCCACAGGAAAACCAGCGACTCGAGACGAGACACGTGGGTGCAGAAACACGTGCATTTCGTGCGAGACATCCTCCAATTTTGACATTTTCGACACGTTACCAAACAGGTTGGAATGTCACAAAGTGTCACGCCTGCCACGCAAAACGACATGACAACCTGCTTGGAAACCTTCGAAAAAGAGAGGTTTTGCAGCTTCCTCCATAGACACGGCGATGCCACAGGAAAACCAGCGACTCGAGACGAGACGCGTGGATGCAGAAAAACCAGCATTTCGTGCGAGACATCCTCCAATTTTGACATTTTCGACACGTTATCAAACAGGTTGGAATGTCACAAAGTGTCACGCCTGCCACGCAAAACGACATGACAACCTGCTTGGAAACCTTCGAAAAGGAGAGGTTTTGCGGCTTCCCCCATAGACATGGCGAAGCCACAAGAATCGAGACGTTTCGTGCGAGGCTTCCGTCAATTTTCAGCACATTGCGCAAAATGCCACGCTTGCCACGGAATTTGCACCGTGTCGCCACTTGACGCAGCCCTGCCAATGCGATGTACAAAAACACGCAACACGACACGTCGAAAGTGCTGCGCCTGCCATGAAAAATGACGATGGACACGTCCAAAGTGCTGCGCCTGCCACGAAAACTGAACCACATCTTCTGAAAACGTCGCAAAAGTATTGCGCCTGCCACGCAAAACGACTTTCGACACGTTGCAGAACACGTCTGAATGTCACGAAGTTCCACGCCTGCCACGCGAAGCAACGACACATTGGAAACCTCCAAAAATGACCACCTCTGCAGAACTTCCCATAGGCACGGCCATACGGAGTTCGTACGAACGGTTGCGAACGGTTGCGACCACAAACGCAACGTCGAGCGAACACACCCTCAACCCCCAGACCCCCAGAGTGAAACGGGAACCCTTGCTACGCATTCGGGAATGATGGAGTTCGTCCGTTGGGATGATGAAATTCCCAATATATGGGAAAATAAAGTTCATGTTCCAAACCACCAACCAGTGTTATAAATGGAAAATTGTAGGGAGGTTCCTGAAATGGGGGGGACCCCTAAATCATCCATTTTAGATTGGGATTTTCCGTGAAATAAACCATCCAGCTATTGGGGTATCCCCATTTATGGAATTCCCCATATGGACACACACTGAACAATCTTTGACCCATAAGATGGGATAGCAAAGTTTACCCCATTCCCCTATCATGGCTGCGTAGGTCTCCAACTATGTATGAACAAAGACACTTAGCCCTTGCTGAAGTTGTATCAAACACAAATCAAACATTAATATATCAAGCGCAACAACTATACTTGGCGCCACCATCATGGGGATCCGACCAGCCACAAAAATGATGCTTAAGATGAATGACCCCCTATAAGGTTATTGGATAGCTCATGGATTTACTGGTTGGTGGCATACCTACCCCTCTGAAAAATATTAGTCAATGGGAAGGATTATCCCATATATTATGGAAAAATGGAAAATGTTCCAAACCACCAACCAGAATATATCAAGCACAACAACTATACTTCAGGTGAGTAGTCAATCACAACCTGTCAAAACACTTAACAACAAGCAATTCCCTTGTCACTTCCTCTGCTGTGGCAGTCCCTGACTTCGCAGACCTCCCCAAATTTGGGTTCAGGGCTCCAGGGCTCTCATGCTGTTGCACAGTTGGCAAGTTCATGATCACCCCGCAGGCTGCAGGCTGTTTGTAAGCCAACGAATTCTTGCAGACATCAGGACACCTACATAATGCGTCCCAATTTTATTTCGCTCCACTGCACCCAAAAGCGTGTTTTCGCCTGTGCCGACCAGTCGATGGCCTCAAGACACATCTTGAGTTCTGATGCGAGGTCTTCAGAGAACAGTAGATAGCAAGGGTAGTCTCTTGGATCTCTTGGCCAATCAATGGCTTCAAGACGTATCTTGAGTTCTGGTTTAATTTTGTCCCATTGCCGTAAAAATTCAACTTTTCTCGTATGGCTCAACACAAGCTCTGCAGAAATTCTGACTAAGCCAGTGAGTTGTCCCCACAAAAATTTCCGATTTTCTTTCTCTACTATCTCCTCGTACTGGTATGTTGATGGTCTGTGCCTTTCTGACAGCAGCCACCACAGCATCGTCACTCCTTTTCCATCTCTGTTTGGTACTGGTCTTCCTATGATAATTTCGTTTCTTTCCCATCTAGATAAAAGGGCAATCAGGTCATTGGCGCTGCTCAACCCACATGCCTTTTGCAAATCACCGGTACTCAGGCCTTCCGTCGCTCGGCAGAGTATATTCCACAGCTTACCTGCTAAAGGTGATTCATCCGTGATGTCTGACACAAATGTGGAACTTCCGGGAAAGGTCACATTATCGTCGAGCTCAACCAGCTGTCCATCCTCCATTGCACCACAGCATGGACACGGCTTTCGGCAGCACTCCTCGCAAACAACGCAGCGTGGTATGCAGCGACAACGCTCCCATTTCCAGCGGGCGAATCGCGGTAATGGACTATCGGGACTATTGATGCATCGAGAGCAATAGCAAATGGCATCATCCGTCGCGCAGGTCGACATCTGGGTGTGGTTCAAAAAATGGGTCGCCGCAGCTTTTGTGATTTTTTATGTGTTGTGAGATATCCATTCTTTGCTAATGTGCTTCAACAGTTGTGAAGTTCTGAACATGCAGGTTCTTAAATGCACCTGTTCTCAAATCAAGCTGGCGAACCGAAACTGCGGGGAAACAATGAAACAACTTTCATCCCAGCAGGATACTACAAGTATCCGCTGACACAAAACAGAGGTGCCCAGCTTTTTCAAAATCAACTCGCAAGTACATCGAGGCAAGGCTTGAATGACAATGCCGCATGCCAGCAATGTTCATTAATAGAAAACGTCAACACCAAGAAAGGCTGTTAAAATCTGTTAAAGTCTCCAAAAAAATATCCAATCAATCAACCATCCGAGAAATCATCAGATCATTTGGGAATGATTTCCCATCTAAACCAATCACCCAGCTTGACCCCGGCCAGTCGTCAGCTCCTCAGTCATCAACGGTTCCAGTCGTGCGAAGAACGGTAAGGCATCCGGAGACAGCAGGGTGCCCTGGCCCGGCGCGAGGGTGGGGGATTGGTCAATATTCCATAGGGATGATCCTCTTTTCATTACTTAAGGTACATGACCTTAGGAAACAAAGTTCTGCTTTTGGGGACTATCTCATGTACCAGGTTTCATGAAGGTATAATGAAAATATGGTGACATAAAGTGACATAAGTTAACCTCTGAATAATTTTTTGATTTCTCTCTGTGTGCGACGTGTCGCTTTCCAAATCCAGGCCGTTGCGCCAGTTCCGACATGGATTCGTTGCTTCTTTTCTTGATCTGTCAATTCGTGGTATCCTGGTTGGTGGTTGACCTACCCCTCTGAAAAATATGAAAGTCAGTTGGGATGATTCTTCCCAATATATGGAAAATATAAAATGTTCTTTTCATATTGTTGTACCCTCTGGTAAACTCACATAGCACTATTGAAAATGGCCATTTATAGTGAGTTTTCCCATTGAAAATGGTGATTTTCCATAGTTATGTGACAGTTTACCAGAGGGTACATTCTGTTGCATCCCAGTCTTCTGCGTGCCACATCATGCTGGTTGAAGGAGTTTGTTTTCCGCTCGGCAGGCTGTGACTGTCAAGCATATCCCAAACTGGATTGTTTTCTTCACAGGTTCTTGGCTTTATGTCCGCCAAACAGCAATCCAATCATTCTTTACCACTTTTACCCATTCTATGTTCAGAAGGCTTCCCAAGTTATAAGTTGCTTTACAAATCCATCCAACTGTAGATATCCATTATATGCACCCCACTTAGCCAAGTTTTGTCTACACACTTACCTCTCAAACATATTCAAAATCACAAATCCCAGTGTTAGAGTTAAATCCTGATGTGCTTAAGTGGTTATTCTCCAATAACCACACCAGTCCCATTTTCCATAATTTTCCCACATTCCATCATGCCATCCTCCTGACTTCCGACAGCCTCATGCACCACCAGTAGGCTGCTGGCATTGCCATCTTTCAAAGCCGCTGCGATGCCATGCGCCATCTGCCTCGGCGGATGAAAATTTCCAACGGCGAGGGCTTTGGCAACGTAGCATGGTGGTCATCTGTTGTTGATAAAATCCTCAACTTTTTCTAGATTTTGTTGCATGAAGTTGCATGTCTTTGGGGTCGATCTGGTTGTTGCGTATGGCATGGTTCACGATGGAAAAAAAACAAACCATCATCTAGATGATATTTGGGATGATATCCGTCATATTTGAATGATATTCTACAGAATAGGCTGATGTTGGGATGATGGATGAATCCCGCTCGCCATCATCATTCCAGTGACGTTTTCCAGTCATCTAATGCAGCGAGGTCAACGTGTTTCTCTCGTGTACAAGCTATGAAGACACGACGTGAAAATATCAACGCAGTTATGGCCATAAAAACCAGTTATAACTGGTTATTTCTATGGGATTATACATTCTATAAATGGGGTTTTGTTAGTACTTATAACTAATAAATGGCCATAACTGCACTTTGCTTCAAAAATGACAGCCTGAAATGATAGAAACAACGATCTATTTCGTGAGTGATCAACTTTTCGTAGCTAGGCACATCATCCAATGGAGCTAAGCCCCTATTTCGAAAGACACATCAATCCTATAAGGGCTCTGGAACCGCGCCAAAGATCTGGATTCCACTAGCCAATATGGGAATTTAGCATCATTTCACTGCGCCAGTATCTCCTGTGCAATCGAACATCCAGCAATGGAACATCCAGCATTGGCAAATTGCAACCTCTGAGAAATATGAAAGTCAGCTGGGATGATGAAATTCCCAATACATTGAAAAATAAGATTCATGTTACAAACCACCAACCAGATATATATAATATATATATACTAGATTAGTATGGTTACCATACTTGTACTGTCATAATCAATGGATTAACGTGTTATATATTCCAAACCACCAACCAGCCATTATACCAGTTCGTTCGCATTGCTTTCCCTACTGTGGGTCAGTTCATGATCCCGAATAACCCAGGTAGTATTGCTCCCTAGCTTCAAAACCAACCAACCATCATGTATCATTTGTATCCCCATATCTTTAAGACTTAAACTGCCATAAAAACTACAATTGACCGCAATAACTTTGGGTTAAAAAAGAGTAATCTAGGTAAAACAATAATAAACCATTCCCAAAATCACCATTTTTATAGGTGGTATGTTTACCATTCCCAAATGGGTGGTTTATGACATTGTGGTTTATGACATTGTTTTACCCACATTAACCAATCAACCTGGCTACCCTCTGGTAATTTGACATAGTTATTGAAAATGGCCGATTTAGTTCGTTGATTTACCTATTAAAAATGGTGATTTTCCATAGCAAACTGTTAGTTTTCCAGAAGGTAGTGGTAGTCTTTTAACGGCACAACTTGCCCCCCAACTTACATCGACAGTCACAACTTGACAACTTGGTCCAGCTGCTCAGTGTCACGAGCAGAGTTGGCCAGCAAGCGCGAGCGGCCTGGCGGTGCCAAAGAAAAATATGGCCCACGGAGGTATAATGGTAGTTGAGATGGTTTAATATGGCTTAATTGTGTTTGATATGACTATATATGGTTTAATATGGTTTAATCTTGTTTGATATGGTTTAAGATGATTTAATATTGTTTAATATGAATAACAAAATAATGGGATATGAATGGATTTACCCTCAATCAAAGGTGGTTGCCATATTTGATTGCAAATGAGTGTCAATTTCATAGTGGATAATAGCTATATGGCTATATCTATACATACTTAACCAATGATCATGGCAGTAAGTGGCCTCCGGTTATATTGGTTGGTTTAGGTTACCCCATCCACTGTAATATATATATATATACGTACAATATCTACCAAAAACCATACAGCAGTTATCCTAGTTATGAACCAACCTACTGTAACTATCTAGGGGGTCCCTGCCTTGGGGGGTTGATCGGCCAGACTCTATCTAATTCCTGTATAGTGGTTGTATGAACACAACTAGTCACCACCCAAACCATCCCCTGATATCGGTGTATTAACTCCAGTGAACGCTGACAAATTCACAAAGGATTTCAATCAACATTTGAAACTGTGCATTTGTGTTATCCATGTGCAATAAATAAAATGAATGGAATATCACATTGGCTTTAGGATAAACAACATAAAACAATTATCTTTATCTATAGTGGTAGTATGTATAAAACTATATTAATATATTCGCTATGTGTTGTTTAGCCACCTGTGGTTGTTGATGACATCGTCAATTGATCAAATTCAGGGAAAGTCATATCCCACAAATGGACATGAACACGAAACAGTTTCCCCTAGCTAGCCAGGAAGGTATCCCTGAACAAGTTACCATCTCGATCTGCTTTAGAATGCACCCTGAATTAATCTGCCGGCAGTTTGACAATCCAAGTTAACACTACCCTGCTTTAACGGCGTCCAATGTGACGAACGTTAGCGAACGCAGTTTCTTGCTCTATATTCATGGCCTTGATGATGGAGACACCAGGAACTCCGTGGTGTCGCGCCAACAACTTGGGATTCGGGGTTCAATTCAACCACTGTGTCTTTGTTTTAGTCAAAACCAGATACATCAATACCCAATTCTTTTTTCGACCCATGGCTTTACCACCTTCTATGTCTTTACCAATCTGTGTCTTTGTTTTGGTTACCCTCTGGTAATTTAACATAGCAATTGAAAATCACCATTTTTAATGGGAAAATCCACTATAAATGGCCATTTTCAATAGCTACGTTAAATTACCAGAGGGTAACCAAGGCGTGTTATCGGCTTTACCACCTATGGCTTTTCGCCCCATCCCTCAGCGTCCGTCCGTACCTCGAAGGGCCGATCCACTGGAGGGCACTTCCTGACTCTGACGTTGACGTTGTCGATCTGGGGAGCAACCATACCATGGCATGGAGATGGGTCAAAGAACATTATAGAAAATATATTAAAATGGTGGTTATCTAAACTTTGAAGACCAAGAAATCCTTCTTGGTGTTAATTTATGTTAACTTATTGATTTCTTGTTGGGTTTGTTAACTGAGAAAGTGATCATAAGAGCAATTGCGACGTACCTTATTACGGTCAAGTTTGCAGATATCAACAGCAATGCTTGCTTCAGTGGAAAAGGGCATGCAGGTCTGAATGAATTGATGGAATTCGGAAGTGAGTCATTGGATGTTGTCTAAAATCATCTTGTTACATACTCTCAACCCATCATCTGTGGTGGACTTCAATCTATGGAGGAAAGATAGGGAAAATAAGTACTATCTTTGATTTCATGAAACAAGATCGACCACAACAAAAGTCCCTATGAAGGTACTTTCCAAACAATAAGTGTTTGTTTTTTTGTGACTTTTGTGGCGTGGAAAACATGGGAACATCATTTGTTTAAAAGGGGGATGTTCCAGCCCATGTTTGACTAACGGAGGCTATCCACTTTATATATAAAATATACTATATATATATATATATGTATGTTTACATAC